GTTTCATCTATTGTGTGCTATTATACATGTAAAAACTGTCTCTTTGAACTATTGAAAATTTAAGGTTCAGTATAATATCAATTTTGAATTTTTAATGGTGTTTATGAAATTTTAGATAGCGAGTCCTTCATTTGATCAATAAACAGTGTTATAGAAAACTTCAAGTTTATAAAAATACAGTGAAATTTATACAAAGCTCTAAATCCACATTTGCATTTCCTCTGCCCTTTTAACTAAACTAAAACTTATGAATTTTAAATTATTAAGGGGGGTGCTGTATGAATCAGTAGACATTGGATCAGGTTGCTGAAAAGAGTTCAGTTCTGTAGTATCTGAATTTGTCTTTTAAAATGAGTACATATATAGGCAATAAATATATATGCTCAGATAAACTAGAAAAACTTCAAGACATTCAAAAACTACAAAGGAGTATGTTCAGTAGTAGTTGTATAAATTTGGTGGTTATGTTTTTTTATTTTGTTTTTGCTTTGTGTAGAGGTAAAAAACTATAGTTTTATTACAGCATAATTCATTTTGAGCTCCGCTATGACATTTCAGAGACTGCCCAGTTTAGAAGTCTGTCATGATTTTTACTGTTTCACTCCAATTCAATAATTGTTGATAGTATTACTCGCCTAGTCCATCCATACTCATATTATTCAAATACATAGGTGGGACTTTTGAAACAATTGCTTTGGTTCCCTTGGTTTAACAGAGGTTCATGAATATTCAACCTTTGCTGGGGGAACGAAAAGAAAGTTAATGAGAATGCTTGCTATGAGAGAGGGATTTTTAATTTAACTTGTAGTTATAGTTTACTTATTGTTTTTAGAATTACTTTTACATTTTCCTGACTAGATAGCCTAGAGTCCAACCTTACCTTTTGAGATGACATTATCGTCTCCATCATAATTGAGTGATAGCTTTAAAAAAGGATTAGTTTTGCTTAAGAAGTTATGTTATAACTGATCAGCCCTATATGTAATATAAGTTGTGTTATAACTGATCAGTCCTATATGAAACATCAATAGTTTCTACCTGCTTGTTAAAAGACAGAAGCTTTAATTTGGTTCTAATAAATAAAGTATGGTAGTGATTGTAGGAATCCAGGATGTTGAAAAAATGGCATAGTGTCTATATTTTGGAAATAGAAAGGAAAAGACACTTAAGATAGTATGAATTAAATTCCTATGTCAGTTGCCAAATCTTTTAAACTTATGTATTCACCAAGCCCAAAAATAGCTTGTGGCTACCAGGATTCTAATTTTAATTGGAGAGCTAAGTAAGTAAAGTTTTATAAGTATTAGATTTCTTAATGATCATATTTTGCAGTTTTAGTAAAAGGGAAATATTGTTATACATTTATTAAATACACTTCCCCCATGAAGTGAAAAGGTTAATTTTGCTGAATGTTTTAAGTTGAAGTTACTTCATGGATGTCATATCCATGAAGTGTGTTTGGATGAAATAGAAGAAATTGTTTTTTACAAAGTTTAAGTACCAAAGGTAGTCTAGTCTAGAACAATAATAAGTTAATACATGTTGGCTTTTCTAATTTGTACTGTAACATCCTTATACTTTCTATTTTAAGTATATCTGTTTCTTAAGTAAACAACTTAGATATTTTCCATAACTTTTTTTCTGATGCAGAGTTCAGGTTAATTAATATTTTACTGCATCTGATAATGTATTATACGTTTGAAGCCTAGTGACTTTTCATTTTGACATTCTTGTGATTTCATATGCTGTATTCTTCAAGCAATAAAATTGTGATGTGTTTTATAAATGGTTTTTATATTTAATGATCTATAGAGAGATTTCTATTATTACTATTTTTACTAGTTTCAAAAATCTTAGGCCCAAAAGACATTTTGGTCATTTGGTATATAGTACCTGCCTTTTATTTTTGTTTACTGTCATTTCAAAAAATGTGGTTTTACTTGTGTTTTTGTAATTTACAGTCGTAAGATCGAGGCATAACAAAGCTACTTAAGCAGTATTTTACTTTTAGTTGTTTTTTGTTTTTTAGCATTTGAAAGTCACTATTACATTTTTCCAGTTAAAAATTTTTAAATCTTTTTGAAGAGAGAAACAAAATCGTTAGCATTCTTGAGAAATAAAGTTATTGTTCTGTAAGTATTTTTCTATCCCCTTTAATATATGTTATATATCTTTTTCAGCAGATTATCAGATTAATAAGTTGAAAAGGCATCAGTTTTTAAAGCTGCATATACCATGCACACAGAACAGTGCACAAAGAAAGGTTTTCACAGATTAAGCAAACTCGTATCATCAGTCCTCAGATCAAAACACAGAGCATTATGTGTACCCCAGAAGCCCTCCTCTTGCCCCTATCTTAACACTTTTTTCTTGCTGAAAGTAACTACTATCCTGACTTCTAAAATCATAGACTAGTTTCGCCTGTTTTTTATTTTATGTAAATGTACTCATGTATAGTACAGTCTTTTTTTCATTCATCATTTTTGTGAATATTTTAGTTTCTTGTTGCCACTATAACAAATTACCACAAACTTAGTGATGTAAAACAAATTTATTATTTTATAGTCCTGGAGATCAGAAGTCCAAAAATCAGTTTCATTAAGCCCTAATCAAAGTACCAGCTCTGTTGGTTCTTTCTTGAGGTTGTGAGGGAGAATGTTTTCTTGCTTTGGTTGGCTTCTAGTGACTGCCTATGTTTACCGGCTTGTGACCCCTTTCTCTCTATGATCAATGCCAGCTTTTTGTCATTATATCCTCTTCTGTAGTCAGATCTTTCCCTGCCTCTACATTTTGGGCTCACTTGCATAAAGCGGGGATAATCCCTCTATTGCAAGATCCTTAATTTAATCATATCTACAAAATCTTTTTTGCCATTTAAGTAACATTCACAGGTTCCAGGGATTCGGACCTTGGCTATCTTTGGAGGCCGTTATTCAACCTACCAAAGTGAGAGTCATCTTTATTGTTGCATGTATTTGTAGTTCATTCATTCTCATTGCTGTATAGTCTTCCATTTATTTATCCATTTTTCATTCTATCCAAAAGTATTATTCATTTCTCCCATTGATAGTCATTAGAGGATTTTTCAGTTCTGAGCTATTATGAATAGTACTATGGAGAACATCCTTATACGTGTCTTTCGGTGAGTGTATACATTTCCGTTGAGTATACACCTACGAATGGAATTGCTAGGTTGTAGTGTGTGTGTATTTTCAGCTCTAGCATTTACTGTCAAAGTTTTCCAAAATGACTGTAAGAAGACACCATTTTAATATGTAGCATAATAATGAATTACCCTAATGAGCTTAGTGGATTGAATTTCTCAAAATACCTAAATTGTACTAAATGAATTATACTACAGCAGGTATATTGTTATTTAATTTCGTATAAGAGGAAAATAAGAGCAAAAGTAATTGCCCTTATTTATTTATTTGTTTGTTTATTAATTTATTTATTTTTGAGATGGAGTTTCGCTCTTGTTACCCAGGCTGGAGTGCAATGGCACGATCTCGGCTCACCACAACCTCCGCCTCCTGGATTCAAGAAATTCTCCCGCCTCAGCCTCCTGAGTAGCTGGGATTACAGGCACCCACCATTGTGCCCAGCTAATTTTTTGTATTTTTAGTAGAGATGGGGTTCCACCATGTTGACCAGGATGGTCTCAATCTCTTGACCTCGTGATCCACCTGCCTCAGCCTCCCAAAGTGCTGGGATTACAGGCTTGAACCACCGCGCCCAGCCATAATTTCCCTTATTACTGACATATTAGTATTACATACTCATTAGGTTATTGTTCCTTAGAAAAAATGCAAATTTTAAGTAATCATAAGTAGTATGTTGAATTAGTATGTTGTGGGAAAATCTGATTTAATTTTTTAATTGAATTTTAAATTTTTGGTTATAACCTCATTAAAATGCATGATATTTCTTATATAGGTTGCTAAATTATGTCTGTCCAACTCATCTATATCTAAATCACCATAAGGAAGAATTATCCAATCCAGATGGCATAGGCACTACCCTCCACTGTCTTCACTTGGATTTTTTTGTTGCTGTTTTCTTCTTTTCCTCTGTCCCCAACAATTTGACCACAAGTCCTATCCCACCTCCTGTATTTTTCACCGTGGCCCAGGATGTGTTTTTCACCATGGCTCAGGATGTGTTTTTCACCATGGCTCAGGTCATGGTTAGGATTGGCCAGGGTGAAGAGAATGATAACATATAAGTAGCCTCCTTTTACCTAAGGTGTTACCGCTGGTTCTTATCCTATTTTCTCAAAATAAATGAGAAGAGAAAGTAAGGAAAAAGAGGAAGAAACTTTTTTTTTAAGAAACAGGATTGTACTATGTTTCTTAACATAGATTGCAGTGGCTAGATTCCAGTGGCTATTCACAGGCATAATCATAATGCATCATAGCCTCAAACTCCTGGGCTCAAGCAATCCAAAAGGAGGAAACTTTTAACTTATCATCAGTTTCCACCATAAATCAAGCAACTTAGAAAAACCTTAGAACAGGGTTTCTCAAACTAAGCATTGTTAGTATTTTGGGTTGGTTAAGTCTTTGTTGTGGGAGCCTATCCTGTGCATTATAGAATTTCTAGCAGCATAATTGGCTTATACCCACTCAATGTCAGTAGCACCACTCCCCACCCTACTTCTAATTGTGACAGCCAAAAAATGTCTCCAGACATTGCCAAATGTCCCTGGGTGTTGTGGGGATAGGAGGCAAAATTGCCCCTTGTTGAAAACCACCACCTTAAATGATCTAGGTTTTACTTTTAGGATAGGACACTTGAGGGAAAGGCTATAAAACTGAACCTCTGTTAGAAGCAACACACAGTGTCACTGGAAAAAGACTAAAAGAAACAGGTGATTTGGAGAGAAGAGGCCCAGGATTAAAATGTGTTTTCAAGAAAGTCAAATCTTATAGGAGACTTCTTGACTTCTGCTGATCCCTTCACGCCATAGGACCTAGTGCAGCTATTATAAATCTCTCTACCTGCTTGCTGCTTTTCTACATCAATGTTAGCCATACTCAGTTTGAAACAGATGAGGTATACTGTCTCATAACTAATGCATCTTTTAATAAGCATTTTTTTATTGTGGTTAAATATGCATATCATAAAATTTACCTCTTTAACCAGTTTTAAGTGTTCAAATCTGTGGCATTAAGTGTATTCATACTATTGTGCAGCCACCACCACCATCTAGTTACAGAATTCCTCATTTTCCCAAACCGAAATCCTGTATTCATTAAACAACTCCCCATTACCTCTTCTCTTCCCCAGCCTCAACACCATTTTGCTTTCTGTCTCTATGAACTGACTACTCTAGATATCTAAATGAGTTCATTCTTATTTCATTTACCATAATGTCTTCAAGGTTCATTCATGTTGTAGCGTGTATCAGAATTTCTTTCCTCTTAAAGGCTGAATATGCCATTGTATGTATTTATCATATTTTGTTTATGGGTTGCTTTTGCTTTTTAGCTATTGTGAATAATGCTCCTGTGAACATGGGTATACAAATAGCTGTTTGAATCCTAATAGGCTTGTTATTTTTGAGTGCACAGATCTGTATATTCACAATTGAAATAGGGAACATCTTTATATACATATAAAGGTAATTTATATTACAATAAGTCTTCAATGTTCTTGATAGGTTCTTGGAAACTGTGAGTTTAAGGAAAACAACATACATAATGAAACCAATTTTACCATAGGTGAATTGATATAAATAAGAGTTAAGTTCCTATGGCATATTTCTGGTCACAAAAACATTACCAAATTTCTAATAAAGACCCACCACACTTCTAAAATTAAACCTTAAAATTAATGTGAGCTATATATACATTTAAAAAGGATAAAAACAAGTAAGAATTGGCTGGGCATGGTGGCTTACGCCTGTAATCAACACTAGGAGATCGAGGTGGGCAGACTGCTTGACCTCAGGAGTTCACAACCAGCCTGAGTAACATTGCGAAACCCCATCTCTACAAAAAAAAAAAATAGAAAAATTAGTCAGGGGTGGTGGCTTGCTCCTGGAGTCCCAGCTACTTGGGAGACTGATGTGGGAGGATCCCTTGAGCCTGGGAGGTCAAGGCTGCAGTGAGCCATGATCATGCCACTGCACTCCAGTATGGTCAACAGAGCAAAATCCTATCTCAAAAAAACAAATAAAACCATATTATTCAGCCCCAATTGTTTATGGGGTTGTTATTGATAGACCCTGCATTAAACAATCACACAATGCTGCAGTCAGCTGTGATGGTGCCACTGCATTCCAGCCTGGGTGGCAGAATGAGACCCTATCTCAAAAAAAAAAAAAGTAAAAATTATTTATCCAATATTTGGTGAGTCAGTGAGTGACAGTGGTTGTAGTAGTAGTGGTGTTTGGAAAGTGAAAATTGTAAGAAGCACTTCCTACCACCATGCAGTTCAAAAACAAAAAATAAGTAATATGGTAGGCTGGCCGAGTGCTTTTATACTGCATCATGTATTGTGCATTTGTATGATTACCATATACTTTATAAATTTTTTGTTTTATTGTAATTTGTATTCATTCATTTTTCAACCTGCTTATTTCAGTTCAGTGTCTCAGGTAGCTGGAGCCTATCCCAGCAGCTCAGGGAGCAAGGTGGGAGCCAACCCTGGACAGGATGTACTCACACACCACACACACCCGTAATGGGACCATTTAGCTGTACCAGTTCACCTAACATGTGCATCTTTGGAAATTGAGAAGAAACCAGAGTACACAGAGAAAACTCATGCAGGTATGTGGAAGATGTGCAAAATTCACACAGACAGTGATCCTGGTTGTAAATAGTCTTTTTTTCATCAACATTATAATGAAATGACATTAATTGAGGACCTGCTGTATGTGATATGAACAATGAAGATCAACTCTTTTTGTAATAGTCTTTTACATATATTATTTCATTTGTTCATTTCCTCTGTGAGGGTAAGTACTGATAGTTCAGAGTCATAGACTGGTAACACAGGCATACCATTAAAAATAATAGACATATAGTATGCAATATTTTATTTTACTTATGAAACTCCATATTTAATGTATAATGTGCTGAGTATGAAGGATAGTACATACTGTTTCCTTTTATGTTTCTTGCCTTTGTATATTTTATATGAATAGCATTGTCACCAACATAGAAGGTGGTAAAGGTGGAAGAGGAAGACTTGCCAGAAGAAGTTTTTAATGTGAATGAGAGATTTTTATTGAGAATTGGGAGTGGAAGGAGAGAGAAAGTATTAGAAAGTATGTATACAGCAAAGGATGGAGAAACTGTGCTTGTTGTTAAAGCATCTAAGGATCCTCCAATTACTAGGGAAAACATACCAGGCTCAAAATGGTCTGATTATGCAAATACCTTCTTCTAATAAGTTTGTTTCTTTTGTTATGCTTATAAAAGATACCATTAACTTCATATTTATGTCACTAATAAACTTCTAGAATCCGTATAGTAGGTTATAGTAGTGTGGTTAAGCTATAAGAACAATGATATTTATTTCTGAAACACTTATTTGGTGTATTACATAGAATAGGGTTTGTTTTCTAAGCCTAATAGTGTTAGGTTTTCTTTTTTTTTTACCCAACCCTGCCATCTTAACTGTAATTGTTTATTTATTTATTTATTTATTTATTTATTTATTGCATTTTAGGTTTTGGGGTACATGTGAAGAACATGCAAGATTGTTGCATAGGTACACACATGGCAGTGTGATTTGCTGCCTTCCTCCCCTTCACCTATATCTGGCATTTCTCCCCATGCTCTCTCTCCCCATGCTATCTCTCTTAGGTTTTCATATGCAGTTGCCTTATATATATACTAGTAGCCCTTACAAAATTTAGTCTGTCTTTATTATAAACATGTTGTAAGTGAGGAAATTCAGATTCCAAGAAATTAAGTACAATTGGCCCTCTGTGTCTGTAGGTTCCACATCCATAGATTCCACCAACCATGGAATGATGGATTGGAAACATTTGGAGAAAAAAACAAAAAATAATAGGCCAACAATGAAATAATACAAATTTTAAAAACAATATAACAATATTTACATATCATTTACATTATATTAGATAGTATAATCTAGAGACAATTTACCAGGTACTAAGTATCCTTGGATTTTGGATTTTGGTATCCTTGGAGTATCCTGGAGCCAATCCCTGGCAGATACCAAGGGGTGACTGTAATAACATCTAATAAGTGAAGGACTTGAACCCTAATATAAGTAATTCTGAGAACTATTTTTCTTCCACTGGAACATTTTTCCCCAAAAATACTCTGGAAATACTGGAACAAATACTGAAGTAAATGATCTTTATTTGAAAGTCTTTTAAAAAATTATAAGCCTGCCTGAGGATAGCAAAATTGTGTGCTTTTGCAAGGTAATTGTAGAACTCACTCTAAGGAAGCAGAGGTAGTGTCTAGTACTATTTTCAGCTCCCTTTTTCTGTCCACTGTCATCTAAATGATCACTCAGTGTTATGCAGAATATGAGAAGTTGTTTTGTTGTGTAGGCTTTATATAGGACTTTTCTTTTGGTCAAGATACTAAAGAAAGCTTATAGAAAAAGTGGCCTGGTGTCAGGTTTTTAGTTTCATCCTTATCCAAATGTTGCAGAATTTTAGAATTTTTGGAGTAAGCTTTCTCTTAAAAACGAGGCCATACCCTTTTAGTATAGTGATGAATATAAATAAAATAAAACCAAGGCCAAATTGCATTTTTAAAATTGCAAGGTCCCTGTTTTCCAAATCCTAGTAACAGCCTTACTGTTGTACAAAAAGGAATAAGATCTAGTAGCTACTTTAGCAATGGGCATGGCAGATCAATCAATCAATCAATCTAGTAGTTATGGCTTATTATTTAGGATTTAAGTGAGCCATAGCTACTAGAAATGAAATTGAGGTTCATGTTCTTAATTTGAAATTAAGGGTCATGATCTCATTGGTACTGATGAGTCAGCAGCTATCGGTATATAAGGATAACCCTTGGAGAAAGAACTACTTTAGGAATTATTTTACACAGAATTCTAGTCATGCTGCCTTGGAGGTTAGGCAACTACGATCCTTACTTTATAGCTTTATTGGTTCTCATCTGAGTCTTGCAGTAGCCTCCTAACTTCCCTTGCTGCCAGTCCTTCCTTGCCCCAGTTTATCTTTCACATTGCTACCAGTGTTATTTTTCTGTAATACAAAAGCAAGTATGAGGCTTCTCTGCTCCTTGGTGATAGTAGTATAAAGTCCAGACTGTTAAGTATTACGCAAAAAGTATGTTTCACAGCACACCTCAACGTTCTTTCCTACGATCTCTTAATTGTACTGAAATCTGGGCTAAATAATGATAGCACTTTTACTACCTTTGTACATGCTTCCAACTCTGAAATAACTTTTTCCCATCTTTACCTGGCAAACTTCAAACCATACCTCAAGACCCAGCTTAAATTTTAGCTCGTATATGAAGTTTTCTCTGAAGGTTTTATGTGTAGTCACGCTTTCTTTTGATTATTTGTATGTGTGGTAGATATTTCTATTTTTGAATCCTTCCTAGCATATGATAATTTATTTGTTCACAAATCTCTTTCTATTATAGTGGGAGCTTCTAGAGGACAGGCACCATATCATTATCATCTCAGCATCCTAGCAACTGACAACAGTAAGGTTTTTTCCACTTGAATTTACAAGTATCTGCTTGTGGTTAGCCTTCAGTTCACCTGATATTCCATATCATTTGCTCCTAGAACTGCTATACATTACATGATAGGAACTTGTAAATATTTGATGGTGATAACGGAAAAGAAAAAAAAATACATTTCATGTGCTGTGTTTAAGAAGAAAGGTCTAGACCAGGCATGGTGGCTTATATTTGTAATCCCAGTGCTTTGGGAGGCTGAGACAGGAGGATCACTTGAGCCCAGGAGTTTGAGGCTGCAGTGAGCTATGATTGTACCACACTGTAACCTGGATAACAGGGTGAGATCCTGTCCCCCCCGAAAAAAAGTGCATGAATAAACCA